AAATTTTTTTTTTTTTTTTTTTTTTTTTTTTTTTTTTGTTCCTGAACTCAAACTCAGGACCTTGCGCTTGCAAGGCAGGTGGTGGCACCACTGAGCTAAATCCCTGACCCCATGGACAAAATAATTCTAATAAAAATTTGTTTGGCTCTTAATTCTTGTTTTCAGATGATGGGGAAAATGCCTAAAAATAATGTTAAACACTTAAAATAATTTGCTTCCTTCTTTCCTTCCTTCCTGCTCTTTTTTTCTCTCTCTGACAAACTCTTGATAAGTTTACCCAGGCTGTGTTTCAATTCATAATCCTCCTATCTTAGCCTCCCAAGTAGCTGGGATTACAGGTCTACACCACCACACCAAGCCTTAAAATTATTTATTTAAAAATGATTTATTGCTAACAAAACTGATGTATTGACTTTATGTAACAGTTGCCTTGTTTTGAGTTTTTTAACAGATGCGGGAAGAAAGCCAGGACTCCATCCTCTTGCAGTTGCCTCCTGCCTGTAACAAGCCATCAACAGCACTGCCACCAGTGTTGCCTTGGCCAGAGCCCGAGTCTGATTTTCCTGAGGAGCAAGGCCCAGCTTGGGAGTTTTAGGGCTGCCACAGTTTCGTGTCCTATATACTTGACACTTTCTCCTTGCTGCTTTTTCTCCTGTATTTCTAGGTATAAATGCCAGAATTATACTTGAAAACATAGTTGGTGCACTGAAGAAGCTGTTCTTTAAACCACTGTGCTCATGGGGACATTGATTCACAACCCTCAGCTTAGACCATTGTGCTCTCACAACTCCAGGGAAATGTCAGCATTACTAATCTAGCTGCAGTTGATTGGTCTCATCTCTTCTTGAACTTTTTCCAAGCTGTGACTACTTTTCTCATCATAATTTTTTGTTTGTTTTGTTTTTTTGGTACCGGGGATCAAACTTGGGTCCTTGGGCTTGCAAGGCAGGCGGCGGCACCACTGAGCTAAACCCCCATCCCTCTCAGCATAATTTTTGAGCCAGCTAATTCTTGGATGTTCTGCTGTCTTTTTGGTAATGAGTGACCTATCCGAGGACAGTGCTTCCAAGGACATTATCATTTTCCAGAGTCTTGGGCCTTTATGATCTGCTGCTGTTAGACCAGCAGGCTAGTAGGTCCTGCCACCAAACCCTCTTTTGGAGAAAGGAAAATGTTCATACTCCCATTTTTCTTCTGTTAATAGATGGTAACATCAGACTGAGCATCACTGACATTAAATGATTCACTTGAGACACACAGAAAAGGGGCTGGAGATTTGGTTCAGTGGTTCCACTCTCTACCTCACAAGCACAGGGACCCATTCGATCCCCAAGTACCAAAACAAAACAAAACAAAAAACAAGATACCATTTGCTGTTTTTAAAAGGGGGTCAAAAGTAATACTTTTCTGTCTGTGTAAATTATTGATCCTAAATTTATGCACCTCTGTCAATAAAGAGCTACTGAGTTGACGCTTGTATTTTTTCTTGTGTGGTTTGACTAACACAAGACTAATTTGTTCTGCCAAGAAAAGTCCTGTCTCACAATTTTATTTAAAGAATCTAATGAATTGAGGCAGATCTGGCCTTTTTTGTGATAACTGCTCCTATGGGGTAAGCACAGACCTCTGAAGAGGTTATGTCAGCTGCAAAAAGGAGGGCTGTGTCTCAAAAAATGTTTGTTGTCTGAGCTGTGATAAATGGGGGCCTATGTCAGTTGATTTTCTTAATCCATATAATTTTACTAATATTGTTAGAAGTTTTAAAATGATTAAGAAACTAAAACCAAAAAGGTAATACACAAATTGAAACAATCCTGTTCTCTGTTTACTGGCTAGTGCCCTCCATTAAACACTGGGATTATCAGTACAGCTCCTACGACCTGCCAAGGTGAAAGCTGGAGGTGAGACTTAGAGTGGACTGCAGAGAGGATGCGGCCCAGTGGGCGCTGAGCAGCTGCAGCAGTAGGGCCACAGATTCTCCCACCATGCTGCTCTTGGGGCTCCTCTCAGCCAGAGGGGTCTGCAGGCACCTCAGAGATTTTCATGTGAGTTCCCAGATTTACTTCAAGGAACTGGTTGCTGCACACACTGTGCCTGCCAAGTCCCAAGATCTGCCAGGTGAGTCAGCAAGGGTATCTTTCTAGTGCAAAGGGCCACCAGTCTCGAAGCCCAGGATGAGCCAGTGCTTCAGTATCCAAAGACAAGAGCTGATGTCCCAGTTCAAAGGCAGTCAAGCAGAAGGAACTTTTTTTTTTTGTACTGGGGATCAAACTCTGGGTCTTGCACTTACAAGGCAGGCACGGTGCTACTGAGCTAAATCCCTGGCCCCTGGAGGAACGCTTACTTGTAGGTGTGTTGGGGTGTTGGCCTTTTTTGTTCTAGTCAGGTCTTCAGCTAATTACGCAAAGCCCACCCACATTAGGGAGGGCAATCTGCTCTATTACACCTATTAACTGAAGTGTTACTCTTACTCAGAAACAGCCCTACTGTATGCATGAATGCCTTTTACTTCTGTACCAGTCACCTCACTTGCTTTATTAGTTTTGTAAGGCTGCTGTAACAAATTGCCACAGACTTAGGTGGCTTAAAACGCCACCAGTGTACTTTTAAGTTCTCTAATTCAAAAGTCCCAAACAGTTCTCACAGGGGTAAAACCAAGGTGTTGACAGGCTGTGTTCTAGAGGCTCCAAAGGAGAATCTACTTCCTTACCCCCTCCAGCCTTTGGAGGCTGTCTCTACACTTCAGCTTGTAGCCCTTTTTTGTCCACTTTCAAAGTCAGCAATGCTGGAATATATCCATGTGCTGTCAATTAAAAAGCTGTACAGCAAAGGATACAGCCAACAAACAGAAGAGAAAACCTTTAGAATGGGAAAAGTTTTGGCCAACTATTCCTTGAACAGAATACCTAGAATATATAAAGAACTCCAAAAAATTAAAGTCCCCAAATAAGCAATTGAAATGAAGACCCTTTGAGCTGGGGATTTAGCTCAGTGGTTCTACTGCCTGCCTTGCAAGCATAAGGTCCCGAGTTCAATCCCTGGTACCCCCCACAAAAAAAGAAATGACACTTCTCAGCAGAGTAAGTACGGATGGCCACTAACTACATAAAAGAGTGTTCAACATCACTAGCTGTACGGCTTGTGCCTGCGTGCCTCCCCAAAGCTTCATGCGGTCATATGTGGAACTTTTTGGGGGTAGCTGGATCTAGAATGTGTGATGCTGGGATTGATTCATGGTCTGATGCTAGAAGTAAGGGTGCCTGTGTGCCTGCTACCTGTCCTAGTAGTCTGGTTAAAATACAAGGAACAGAGAGTTGCTGCTGCTTCACTATTTCACTACTTGCTGCCTCCTGCCTGCTATGAACTCTCTCCTCTGTGACTCCCCTCTTCCATACCACCCTGCCTTGGAGCCAGCCAACTACAAATTGAAACAGAAACTTCTACAAACTGAGCTACAATAAACTTTTCCTCCTTTAACTGTGGATGTGGGGTATTTTGTCTCAGCAACAAAAATAAAAACTGTGACACTGGCTATTAGAGAAATGCAAATGAAAACAACACTGACGTTCCACTTTAACTCCAGAAAGACGGCTATTATCAACTCAAAACACTCAACAAATGTTGGTGAGAATTTGTGGGGAAAGGAACCTTTCTACACTACTGGTGGGCAACTATTATGGAAATCAATATAGAGAGTCTTCAAAAAACTAAAAACAGAAAAAGAAAACAGAAGCAAAGCTTTTGTAAATAAGGAAGGGAAAAGGGTTGAAGGGAGGGGAATGAGGAAAAAAAGAGATACCTTGTACAAGTACAAATTCCATATGAAGAATGTGATCATTATGCATATCTATACCACTAAACTTAATTACAAATTTTTAAAACTAAAATTTGAAATTCTGTTTGACCCAGTATTTCCTTTTGGGTATATCCCTGAAAGAGTTAAAGGCATCAATCTTCAGTGATACATGTATACCCCTATTTATAGCAGCACAACTGGTTACAGCTAAATCTTGGAAGCATTCTTTATGCCCATCAACTGATGAATGGATAAAGAAAATGTTATATTTGTACACTGTTATGGTTTGGGTCTAGAGTTTCTTTGAAAGTGCAGAGACTTCTGATTTCAGTTTGTTTCTCTGTGTGTCTCAGTCTCTGCACCTCTGGCCCTACCTGGAACAGAAGTTTCTTATAGCATTTTCCATTCACTCATTGTCCGCACTTCCTTTCCCAGTTACTTTTTTGACCCGCTTTCCATCCAGTTTTCTTTGAAAACCCACTACCCACCTATTCCTAAAATACTTCCACTTCTAGCCCCTACGTAAGCCCTCGTTAGCCTGACCTTATTACTTCATGCTTACCAATATGCTGGCACAAGTATTATGTACCTGGTGCCTCGCTATTTCCAGCTTGAAGTGTTGTTGCCCTCAAGAGATCCTGTCTGATAGTGAAGATAGAGAAATAAACAACAATTACAGTTCTACTATAATAAAAAATAGTTGGAAAGAAAGGAAAATTTTGTCTTCCTCTTTCCTTTACCTCAATTCTTCTCCATAGGAAGGAAAGTTGATTGATTTGACTAGCCAGATGTAGCCATCCATTATGCAAGTTACAGTTTAAGGAATTATTAATTTAAGGTATTTCCTAATCTTTTTCTTTGCCAAGCTTCAGAGAAATGGCATTTACCTTCTGAGATCTCTGGTGGAGGCTCAGAAATCTACATTTTAATAAGTGCTTCAAAGACCTGGATACAGGTGATCCAAGAAAAAGAAAGAAACATTGGCCAGGAGCTAATTCCACTCAATACCATGCCCACTTAGTAGCTTTGTTATTATATATTCCCCCAATCAGTGAATAATGAAGAACCAATTATGTTCAGGGAAACATCTTTTTTTACATAAAAAAGGCGGGGGGGGGTACCAAAAAATGGAAAAATCACCAAGTCCAAATTCTGTAATGACACTGCAATTCTCATGGCCTAGGTTTCCGAAGAACGCATCACTTATACAACCTTTGCAATTTTTTCCTAATTACCCTATTCCTAGCTGGATATGGTGGCTCACACCTGTAATCCCTACACTCAGGAGGCTGAGGCAAGAAGATTGCAGCGAGTTCAAGGCCAGCCTAAACTACAAAATGAGACCCACTCTCCAAAAGTAAATAAATGAAATAAAACGATTCTATTCCTGTTTTCAAGTTATATCAATGCTTCGAGAATTTGCTAAATTTTTGGAACTAAATTGTCTCAAAGATCAAGCAATTCAACTCCATTTTACAGCGAAGGACTTCGTCTTTCTGCATACCATGTTTCATGATAAACACTTTTGTTTGTATTATATCTTAATAATTTAAGACCAGCAGAGGATGCAAAATGTTTTAAGAATCCCTAAGGACTTAGGAAGGGTGAATTTCCATTTCATTCTTCCTTGCCATGCTGAGCTGTGGGTCCAGTAAATAAATACTCTGGAAATTTAAGAGTTTTCAATAGGCAGATAATCTGCTGGCAGGATGTACATTTGCTGCTATAGGTTCATTATGTAAGAACTTCAGGGATGAAAACATAGACGACTAAAGCATCTGGAGTTGCCCCTTTAACCAAGTAAATGAAATCTCACTCAACCGTGATGAAGGCGCCGCTGACACTCACCGGGCTTTCCAGCCCCTCCAGTCTTGAGGGTTCCCTAACTGCCCCTTTCAGAGGACCTGGCTCTTGTCTCGCGCAGAAAAGAACCACCCTGTGGTACGTGCTGTGTTCAGCTGCCGCGGGCAATCCGCAGCGCAAGGCCGTGAACAGGGCGGACCACCTGAGCTCGCCCTTCCTCCGACGACTAAGGCTACGGCGCAGGCGCATGGCCTGTGGCCCTCGGGCTCCTCCTATCACACGCAGCCCACGTGACCTCGGCTCCTCCTGTCCTGTGCCCCATGTGTGACTGCGCGTGGCTGCGGGGTCCAGTGGGCTTTGGAGGGCCTGCGATTAGGGACGCTGTGGTCATAGTTGCAAGCACTCGCCCGGCTTCTCAGTTCCTTTCGGAGGAAGTCAGGGCAGGAAGCCGGAGGGCATGAGCCACTTGTACATACCTAATTGTTGAACTCCTTAATTCAGTGTCTGGTCTGCCCCTTCTTCCTCTCGCACCATTTCTTTCTTCTTTCTGCTGTCCCGTCCTCCGTCCTATCTCCAGCAGTCCACTGGGTCATCTTCACCCACCTTTCACAGACACACAACGCAAAGCAGTAATGCGGCCACCTTCCCGCGAACCTCTGGTATGTTCAGACTTGTTGGCTGTAGTAATGTGCTATGTACAAAATCATAAAGATTCCAACCCCAGCACCTGAACCCTGCTTTTCTGGGAGGCCCCCATGCAAATGATTGCAGTGGTTTGCTCAGATCTCCCAGTCTGCTGTCATCCATGATTCCACTGCCCCAGTTTTACCGCTATGCATAAGCGAAGCAAACCCAGAGACTTCCAGGATTTCTTTTAAATTTAATGCAGAAGGTGAAGCCTCCAAAGTGCACTTTCATACCTCAAAATGATTGTTTTGCTATTCCATTGGGGATCTATCATATTTAAGAGTCAGCTCAAAAGCCAGGTGCCACTTAAGTCTTTTTAACTCTGTAGACCTAACTGCCAAAGGCAGAATCACCTTTTTCCAAGTACTATTAGACCACCCGTATTAGTGGGCTCACACTGTTAATCCCAAAAGATAGCCCTCTGGGGGCAGAGACCTGACCCTCATCTTCCACTTGTCGGGCTGCATGGCACAATATCTCAATACTGGCACAACAGCCCTCAAAACTGTATTTATTTTCATTTTGAATCTGTGATGCAGTGTTTAATCAATATACCAATGAGACTAGATGTCTATCAGTTCTGTGATTTTCTTAGGATTCAGATTATGCAACATGAAGTCTATAACAGCATAGCAGAAATAATCTTGTTTTAAAAAATTAAATGTAATCAAACATTGTGACTTAAGCTCTAGTATATAGAAAATTCAGAAGACTGAGGAAAAAATTAAATGAAACTTAGGGAAAGTCAATCAAAAATGTAAGTAGGATATTAAAGCGAAACTGTGTTGGACACTCCAAAACATGTCATAGGAATGTAGAATATACTGCCAAGTTTTTAAGAGGAAACTCCTAAGAAACTAAAAATGCAATGGTATACAACCATCAATTGTGCGTCTGGGCATTTATCCCAGAGAAATAAATGTTCACACAAAAACTTGTACACAAATGTTCATGGGAATTTAACTCTTAATAACCAAAACTGAAGTCAATCTAGATGCCATTCTACATGTGAATGGTAAAACAAAGCATAGTATATAATACCTTGCAGTACTACTCAGCAAGAAAAAGGAATGAAAACTGAGATGAATCTCCCAGGAGTTATGCTGAGCAGAAAAGCAGCCCATTCCAAGATTATATACCTACAATGCAATTTACTCAACAGTATTGAAATGACACATTTTAGAAACAGAAGACAGACTAATGGTTACCAGGGGTTAGTTTTAGGTGTATGTGTTTAAAAGAGCAACAAAGGAGATTCTCGTGATTTCTAGAACTACTGTATTCTGATGTTTGTGGCAGATACACAGCCTATGTGAATGGTAAAAATGTACAGAATTTAAAATACAAATTGACAAAATACAAATAAAATGGGAAATCTACAAAAGATTTCTCTGTACAATTGGATAAACCCACAAGGTGAAAATTTCCGTTAAAAAATATAATGGAGGCCGGGCGTGGTGGCACATGCCTGTAATCCCAGTACTCGGGAGGCTGAGGCAGGAGGATCGCTGTGAGTTCAAGACCAGCCTGGGCTATAATAGTGAGTTCCAGGTCAGTCTCAACTACACAGTGAGACCCTGTCTCAAACAAACAACAAAAAACAAACAAACAAAAAAAAATAAAGAATATAATGGAGGAAAAAAAGTAGGGAAGCAAGTATAAATTAAGATATGAGGAAAAAAGAACCAAATGAAATGTGGAAACCTTACCTACACCTCAAGGGGCAAATGGGAAAATGTGAGTGGGCCAGTTATTAGATATTATAGAATTATTGTATTTCAGTTGCCTTGGTTTTGTGGTTACAGACAAATGTCCTTATTTTTACAAAATGTGTGCTGAAATATAATCAGATGAAGAGCCATGCTATTAGTAACTTGATTTCAAAAGGTTTTTTTGGTTGCTTTTTGTTTTTTGGTACTGGGGATCAAACTCAGGACGTTATGTTGGCCCGGCAGGCATGGTGCCATTGAGCTAATCCCCAGCCCTGCTTTTTGTTTTTTGACAGGATCTCACTATGTACTATAGGCTGGGCTTGAACTCACTGTATAGCTCACACTGGCCTCAAACTCAAAGTAATTCTCTTGCCTCAGCCTTGCGAGTGCTGGAATTACAGGTGCTACCTGGCTTTTTCAAAAGGTTTTGAAAGAAAAAAGGATGTACCAAAGAAAAAGCAAATGATCCTTTTTTTTCCCTTGGTACTACTGGGGATTACTGGGGATTGACTGAATTCAGGGCCTTCCTACAAACCCAAGCTACATCCCCATCACTTTTTGTTTTTTGAGTCTTACTGAATCAATAAATTGACCAGGCTGGGCCCAAACCTTGGATCCTCCTGCCTCAGCCTTTCAGAGCACTGGGATTACACCACCATGCCTAGCTAAGTAACAGCAAAATACTTATTACATTATTATATCTATGTTGATCTAGATTATGGGTATACTGCCTTTCAACATTTTTATTTGATAATTTCCAAATAAAAAGTCCTCAGGGCTTACTCACCTGTGTAGCCTTTTCCTTGGGCCCCATTTCCACCAACAGAAATTTCATCCATCCTGTAAAGCACCTACTCACACCCAACCTATAATTCTTTCCATTTTTTCATTCTTACTCCTATCGGTGGCTAATCAACTTGTAAGCCTTTAGAAAGCAGATACTATGTTTTATTCATCTTTTCATTTTTATGCTCCACAAATCTAGGCCTCATTTTCAGAGGTTCAAATTCAACAGATCTGATACTCTCATCGACAGGGTTAGTAATTTGCCTTGAGTTTAGTCCTTGTGATTTTATTCCCCACCTCCTGGAGACATCATTTCAGGAAACTTCTTTCTTGCTTCCCAACCATCACAGTCAAAGGAGTCTCTGATGGACATTATTAGGCTTTCCCCGATGAAGGATTTGTACAAGTTCACCTTGGGAATCACGTTTGCTGGAATCAACAGAAGACTTGAACTTTCGGTCATAATTTCCTGACTCAAAAGAATTCAAAGGCAACTAGGCCTATGCCAACATCAGTGTAGCCAGCTTCCCCAACTCTACATTCAATAACAGCTCTAGGATTCTTTATTTGCTGAAATATTAGAAGCAAATTTTGCCATTTAAGCCAGTTGTGGTGGTACACACCTGTAACCCTAGCACTCGGGAGACTGAGGCAGGAGGACTGCCACAAATTTGAAGCCAGCCTGGGCTACACAGTGAGTTTAAGGCCAGCCTGGACGACAGAGAGAGACCCTGACTCAAAAAAACCAAAAGTAAATAAATAGGAATTTAAAAAAATATTGCAGCATACACAATACACATTTGAGTTATAGTACTGTATGTCAAGGCCAAGATGGATATCAAAGGGTCCAAATTAAGGTATCCGGAGCTGCATTACACTCCGGAGGCTCTACGGGAGGATCAGCTTCCTTGGTCACTTGGAACATTGGTAGACTTTAATTCCTTGCACTCTGTCTCTTTGCTTGCTGTTGGCCAAGGTTATTCTCAGCTTCTAAAGATCACCTAAACTCTTGGTTCATGGTGCCTTCCATCTTTAAAGCCAGCACCATCACAACTCTAACATACAGCTCTCTGCCAACAGATATGGAAGGTTTTGCTTTTAAAGGCTCATAAGATTACAGTAGGCCACCTGGGTCATACACGGGAAACTCATTTCAAGCTTCAAAGTCTTAATTACAGCTGTACCCTTTTCTCTGTGCAAGGGCACACTAAATAGACCCTGAGCAGCTCTCAACAACCCCCACACGGGCAGCAGCTTTCTGATATTGCTCCTGTCTGATGGCACTGTTCCCCTCAGGCCTGACTGGCTTCTGTGCAACTTGCACACAGGGAGGATTGTGAACTCTTCTCCAACAGCTTGCTGCCAGCACGTGAACCAATGGGATTACAGTGAAAGCCAGAACTGGCAAGATGACTTCAGAATTGCTAGCATACTCACAATTCCGGCAGCAGGAGGAACCTCTACTCAGCAGCTCCAGTCTCAGGAGAAGAAAAGACATTCCCAGTACGCTGTTTGTAACTCTCGGCATCCGTCCCTATCGACTTGTCAGACCTCTTCTCTTCCGTAACGTCCAACTGCCTGTGCATCATGGCAGGCCTGACGCTTCAACAGATAACAACCCGAGTTACTGCCTCCCACAGCACATCTCGCCACTGCTCTGAACTGTGGGTCTCAGAGATGCAGGCTGAGAAAACACAGGACACAGCTCTGAAGACACCTTTATAGAGCAGGAGCAGGGTTCCTTCCTGGAAAGCCAAAGATCTTCCTGACCAACAGTGAAAAAATAGGGATGGAATTTCTGTTCATAGTCTTCTCCATAAAACAAACAAACAAACACAACAACAACAAAACAAACCAGAAAGGGCTCCTGTGGAGGTTCATCAGGAGTTTCTGACTGGTTCCATTTCTCTTTTGCTTTGTGTCTTATAAGCTATGTCCCTAAATGTTTCTAATGTGCAACCAGATAGAGGATCCACTGCTACAGATTTTGAAGAGAAAAATTTTTAGTTCATAAAACTTTTTAAACAAAATGACCTATTTCTGTTTCATTAGCATTAAAGCATCTTAAAATTGCATTATCACGACATTTTCACATGACACACAACTAAGATTCAGAAATGACAAATTTTGTATTTCAATTTGTTTGGTAAGGAGATAACAAAAATTTTTACCCTCTATTCCCTAAATTTATAATTAAATTTGGTATATATTTTGTACAACTAAATTTGAAGTTTTTTTGAATTAGTCTTTTAAAGATACTAATTATGAAAATACATTTGAGAGAGCAGGAAAAAAGCACTTTTATCTACTGGTTTCTAAATCATTCTTTTTTGTCATTAATATAATAAGACTAAGGAAATTAATGTTTTACTATAAATGGAAGATCAATTTTAACATTTTTTCTATAACTGAGAAATTTTTTGGTATTATATAATAAAAAATCAGTTACAAATACACATATACATATAAAATACATTTATTTGAAAGGTGGGAAAAATACTGGGCCATTATCCCTCTGCAGATGAGCTGATACTATGAAGAGGCTTTGATGCCTCTCTCTGGATACTCTTCCGTAGCACAGAAGAACATTAACTCTGGAGAAGAAAGAACAGACCGTACTTCAGATAGTTTCCTAGCACCTCAAAGAGTTTTACAGCTTAGCTATAAACAGTCTCTTCAAATAGTGACATAATACACAGTAACAGAAAAGCATAAGTATGATTTCTTGACAGTGAAACCTGTTAAGGGTGTGCTAATAACAAATATTCAAGCTTTAAATGTATTATAAACCCTGAAAAATAAAATATACAATGGAGATAACTTGCCAGGAAATTTAGGACACTCAGATACCTAAGATCATTAAACGGCTACAAGGTGTAATTTTTATAGTGAGAAATAATCTAAAACGTAGGGACAGATAAAGGAGGAGGACTTGGAACTACCACTGCAAAGTCCAGCAGATATCCCTAAGAAAGATTCCAGGGTGAGGGTGTAGAGCTTCTGTGGAGAAAGCATGTCTAGGACAAACGCTCAGCACTGCCAAGCACTGCGATGGATGAGCGCTTTACAGCAGAAGTCTTCCTTGCAGGGGTCCCAGAGGGTCTGGGTCTGCGGGGCACTGGGCACTAGGGTTAAAACTAAACACTGCCAATAATGAATAACTCTATGGAGAGTTAAGGATTTGCACCAAGTAGAAGAAGAAGTAAGAAGAATTCACTTGAGTATGTGTCTGGCAGACAGGCTAATTTATTTCAAATTAAGAGATATTTTCACCAAGAGACGATGAAGACTGGTGAAGAGCAAAGACTTTCTCTGAGTGGCCCGAAGAGTTCCAAGACAAGAGATCCCTCTGTTAGGGACCAGACCCGACTGTCCAGGCCCCCTGCTCCTTCTGCCATTTGGTCATCAACTTATTTTCACTCTTCCTGCATAGTTTTATTTTAAATATACTTTTGTTGTTGTTGGTTTTAAGACAGGGTCTCACTATGTAGTTCAGGCTGGCCTTGAACTCACTGCAATCCCCCTACTTCAGCCTCCCAAGTGTTGGGATTACAGACACATGCTACCATACCTAGCTTGTTGTTAAGATATCATAGAGACTTTAAAAAGTCATTAGAGAAGATTCAGGATACTCGTACACTATTTTTCTTTAATACCTTCATTAAGATCCATGCCTGGTCTATATGACAAAAATAGCCAAGACAATCCCACCAGAAGGGCCACCACCAAATTCACCAAAATCCACTGCTGCAGACTCTGTTCCTCAATTGCTGCAGCCCTGGAGGTATAGAAATACTCATTAGAAATATCTTCATTTTGGTTGATATATCAAAGTATAGCTATTTTATGAACTTAAAGAAAGAACAGACCTCTTCTAGAGAAATAACAAGTACAGAATGCAACACATCTATCAGAAGAACAAGGGTACAATGACTTGAACTCTAAATATATGTGCTCTGCACATCACCATAAGTGGAAAGTTAGTATTCTCAAAAAGATTTCCTCAGTTTCCCTCCTTCTTCAGTTAAATGTCTGTCTTTTATCTCTTAACTCATTCTCTCGGCACTCACAAAACAGAGACTCTAGCCGCCAGCCTGAGTTCTCACTAGAACCTCAGCTGTTCTGCAGCTCCACTCTGGGCCACCACTCTGCGGACCTGGCTCTCTGCTCCACCCCGCCAGTACTGCTGGGTTTTCTGAATCTGCTCCAGCCACCCTCTCCCCTCACTGTCCTGACTGGGGGGACGAGGAGAACTCCTCCGGTCCACTGCATGATGACTTACGGATCTAAAACATATTTTTGAAAAGAAGACACTTCATTAACAATGCAAGTATATATAGTAGTCATCCATTAACCAAAGGAAATTTGGAAATATTTTTAGAATTAAAATAGGGTCTGCATTATTGTTTGTAGATGAAAGCGTAAACAAGAATGGAAGGAAAGGTACTGTTACTCCACTGTTGCTGTTCTACCATTAACAAGTGCTACCATTGCCTGAATTCATACCGGAGGCTGCTGTTAACAGAAGGTGTGTAAAGGTGGATTCTGTCACTTGTCATCTGCTGACTCAGAGACAGTACAAGAGCAACGAAGTACACTGAAAAAAAGACAATGAAATTACTAATAATTTTTATTTTGAATTTATAGGTTAAAACGGTCAAAAGTAATCTGTACTTCAGTGAATGCTGATATAAAAGAAATTCAGTTAATCACTTTCAAGCAACAGTCTTCTCAATAAGACAAGCACTGAGAATTGTTTAAGCTGCTCACTATTTTATGATCAGAACTGAAAAGCATCTAGACCACCTTTTAAGAAATTAAATAACTTGTGCCGGGAAAACAATAAAAAGAAATGAAATAACTTGCTCAAGGTCCCAAAACTAGTTTTATTAATATTCTCAAAACAAAATGTATTCTAAATTAATAAAAAGATGTAAAATAGTATTTATTACTGAGTGGTCACACCAGCTGAGTATGTTTAGTGTCAGGTATAAAGTAAAAAAGCTAAAAAAATTAACTAATGTAGGACAAATCAAACTTTATTTTTTATTTTATTTATTTTTTTGGTGCCAGGGCTCAAACTCAAGACCTTGTCCTTGTGAGGCAGGTGGTGGAACCACTGAGCTAAATACCCGGCCCCTCAAACTTTATTTTTGATGCTGAGGAACTCAAGACCTTATGTACAAATTAAACTCTGAAGGATTATTTAAATGAACTTCTAATGCAAAAAAATTCTATCAAAATTGTGCCTACTACGTTTTTAATTACAAATTCACTAAACTTCTATAAGGGTAATAATATAAAACAATAATGTAAAACTTAAAAAAAAACAGAATCATATTTTTCCTGGTTCAAAATTACAGAATAACTTAAATAAACTATTACTTACAAAAAGATGCTAAAGCTGCTGGGTCCAGGGCAAAAAAATTTCGAATTGCTACTGATGTCTTAGCAAAGTCAATTCTGGAAAATAGAAAAGCTTCTTGTGATGCTGCAGTTGTAAACCTTCTCACAAATACACACTTTCCCGACTATGATTCTTTCCTTTTCTATTCTCCTGCTACCACAGACTATTACAGGAGTGGTTCCAATATTTTTGGCATCAGGGACTAGTTTTGCTGAAAACAAATTTTCTACAGATGGTGGGAAGGGGGTCCTGAGCTCCACCTCAGATCATCAAGCATTGGATTTACATAAGGAAAAAAACCCAGATCCCTCCCTGAGCAGGTCGCTCCTGGAGACCTAAGGCTGTGCTGCCCACAGCAGGTGAGCTCAGGAGGTGATGTTTGTGACTGGAAGTGGCACAGACCAGTGAAGGCCATGGCCCAGGGATGCAGGACCCCTGTATCACAAGGCTTTATGTAGCTGTAGTTTATACCTACATGCAAGATACTATCCTGTTTACAAAGACATGTAACACGTCTAACTAGAGGACTGTAATAGGCACACTCCCTTGGAGTTAGGAAATCCTAAGAAGACAAATTAAACTTCATCTGCAAAATTTGTTCGCTCCTATTTCTATTACCCATGTCATGAAGCAATCAAGTTTTTTTCTTTTAAGGGTAGAACTGTAGTCCCCCCAAAATATATGGGAAGGGCCAAGGATGTGGCTCAGGGGCACTGCACCTGTCTGGTAAGCACAAGGTCCTGAGATTGATCCCTGGTATGGCAAAAATGTTACCAAAAATGTATTGAATTTATAACCCTTGGAATGTGTGAATATGACTTTTTTTAAAAATTTTAAATTGAATTTATTGGTACATTCTAGGTAGACAGTACAGTTACATTCATTACTGGGATCCTGTACCTTTCCATGCCAGGTCTTGGTTCTCATTTTTTCCCCTTGTCCCCAACCTCCCTTCACCCCCTCCTCCCCTCCAATATGACTTTATTTGAAACATGTTTTCTGGAGAGGTAACTTAAGGTCACCTTAATCCAAAGACTGACTTAAAATAATGTTAAAAGTAGTATTAATATCCTGAAATTCTACTTGAAAATTGTCATAGTCAGTGAGTGATACATCTCCTCTTGAAGAAAATTAGAGGAATATGCATGCACAAGTCATACCTGTCAAAAGCTGAGACTGTACTTAGAGCCAAAAGCAAGTACAGGAGACTCTGGAATGGATATGCTAAGGTCTTGTATTGCTGCAGAAGGTTGGGGAGGTCAGACAGCTGTTCATCTGCTAGAGTGTAGATCACAACAACATTCCACACAGCACAGCCCGCCAGAAAGCCATGAGAAAAGAGACCAATCATCCTGCAAGGAAAAGGGTTGAGTTGCTTGCTGTACATGAATAACTACAATAAGAGAATAAACAATTTTTTTTTGTTTTGAAACAGGGTGTTGCTATGCAGTTCACACTGGTCTTGAACTCATGGCAATCCTCCTGCCTTAGCTTTCTGAGTGCTGGGATTACAGGTGTGTCACTATGCCCAATTAAACAATTTTTAAAATCTTTTCACGTATAAGAAGAATGAAATCCAACATATTATGAAAAGAGTACAAACCTTCTTTCTTCACAGCTGAGGATCAACCCTAGGGCCTCACATGTGCTAAGCAAGCATTCCCCAGACTGCATCCCTCACTAGGCCTGTTCTTTTTACTCACGCTGACAGGCAGATCATTTTACTCCAATGGAATGTTTTAAAAATATACCTACATACCATTTTTAATTGTCAATTTTGGTAATGGTACTGAATAGCCAGGACTTTTTCTAATTTTTATTTTATTTTAATTAATTAATTAATTAAATTTTTTTGGGGTATCAGAGATGGAACACGGGACCTCGCGCTTGTGAGGCAGGTGCAAAACCACTGAGATAAATACCTGGCCCCAACTTTTTAAAATTTTAAATTATGAAATCCAGTGAAGCCCATACCTGAAAGCTCGGTGTACAGAAAGTGCCACATCTCTGGTGCTCCAGGAAGGCTTCACGTCCATGGTCACGTCTACGTCTATGTTTTCTGTGGTCTTTATCAACTCTGAACGATCAGCAGCCTGGAATCGCCCTAAGGATGCAGAACAACAAACAGCAAACAGCAAGAGAGAAACCATTAGTAAACATGTAAGAAGCTTCAACTAAGAAAGTTTGCTGTTTGTCTATATAAAAACTCTTGGACTCGGTGTTTTTTTGTTTTTTTGTTTTTTTGGGTTGTTTAAACATACTATTTTGTCATCTTTAAAAAAAAAGCCATGTTGGGCCAGGGATTTACCTCAGTGGTGCCACTGCCTGCTTTGCAAGCACAAAGTCCTGAGTTCAATCCCTGGTACCAAAACAAAACAAACAAAAAAACCAACAAAAATAAGCCACGTTAAGGCACTGCCTTCTCAACCAAAATCGGTGTTAAAGTAACAAGTTTAGGAATTTATGAAACACAATAATGAACTTTCAACTCAACTTTTAACATGATGTAGTTTACAAAATTCTAATTTAGAGACTTTTTTGACAGTAGGATTGACCCATACTGAGCTGCACCCCCAGCTCCTTTTATTTCAAGACAGGGTCTCACTAAATTGCCTAGGCAGGACCCAAACGTATATTGATTCTCCTACCTCAGGTATGTGCTGCCCAGCTAGAGACTTTAGAAGTTTAATGGTTTAAATGCCTATAGCTTTCTGTATTGACAGAAAAGAAACGAGGTGTTTCATAAATTTATATTATGAAGCTTCCTAAGGAAAGTTGTCAGCTCAAGTGTCAGCACTGCAGCTCACATCAACAGGGCTTTATCCTTCCTGTCAACTAGAAATCCATGGACAGACCTCAGAAAGTAAGAAAGGTCCCACAAATGCCCTCACCAAACCCAGCCAGCAGGTGTGTTGGAGGATAAAAGAATCTTTATTTATTTGTTAAAGAGAAAACACTTTCAACAGACAATAAACCACTGGTCCCTTTTATTGTCAGTTACTCAAGTAGCAAAATTTGTGTTAAGGGAAGCAAGAAAAAAATGAGGACTGAGAGCCAGGTGTGGTGGTGCACGCCTACAATCCCATGACTTAGGAGGCCGAGGAAGGAGGATCACTGTGAGTTCGAGATCAGCCTGGGCTACATAGTGAGTTCCAGGTCAGTGTCAACTACAAAGTGAGACTCTGTCTCAAAACCCCGCCCCCCCCAAAAAGAACTGCATGATACTGCTTGAAAATAGACTGGAGTAAGGCTGGGGATTTAGCTTAGTGGTTCCGCTGCCTGCCTCTCAAGTGCAAGGACCTGAGTTTGATCCCCAGTATGAAAGAAAAAAAGAGACTGAAGTAAATTAAATGGGCATATGGTATACTGCCAAAGGAACCACACTAAGAAGCTGTGAAATGTAGTGCAAGTCCCAGTTCTCACTGGCCAACTGTGAACTGGTGGTGAGCTGTTAGTCTCTCTGACCACAGGACGTCTCACTGGCCAAGAACTGCATGATCCTGAACATAGGATCTTATGAGAACAGAATTCTAAAACCACTTATGCAAGACAGACACTGTCAGTTTTAAAGACTGGACTTTATGTTTTGGAGTTCTTTAGGCAATACATCCACAGTATATCCACCATAGGAGGACAAAGCCATGATCATGCTTTGTATAGATTTTTTTTAACAGTGTGTCACGGACTGAATGCGTTCCCCCAAATTCTTATGTTGAAGCCCTAATCCTCTGTCTGATGGTATTTGGAAGTGCTACACCTGAGAGGTAATTCAGTTTGCATAAAGTCACAAGGGTAGAGCTCCCTGATGGGATTACTGTCTTTTTTTAAAGGGAAGAGACACTCGTGTTCTCTGCCATGTGAAGACACAGGGAGATGGAAGTCATCTGCAAGCCAGGAAGGAACCATCACTAAAAATCAGGTCTACCAGCACCATCCTGACTTCTTAGCTTCTGGAACTGTGAGAAAGAAATGTATTGCTTTTTTGGGTTTTTTGGTATCAGGAATTGAACTCGGGCCCTTGCGCTTGCAAAGCAGACAGTGGAACCACTGAGCCAAATCACCGGCCCTAATAAATTAATTATTTAAGTACCTACTCCATGGCACTTTTTTGTAGCAGCCCAAGCTGAAATAAATTGCAAATCCAATTTATAACCAGTATATGCTGTACAATGTCAGAAACATTTTCCCAAAGATACATAGCTATAATGTTGTGTTTATATAACAGGGTAGTTCCAACATGTATTTTCTCTTTTACTTTTACTTGTAGAAATTATATCATTACCTGCCCTACTACCACAGCTACTACCAATTGCTCAAAACTGGTCAAATACAACAAAAGAGAAGAAAACAGGTGGGGATGGAGCAAGATTTTTTTAAATCACCCATAATCCCAAACCCAGAATCAACCAGCACTAATATTTTGTCATATTTCCTTCAAGTCTTTTGTCATTTGCATTTTTCTATAGGTGAGATCAAACTCTGTGTGTGCATATGTGGAGGCATGCTCATTTTTCATTAGATTCTTTCCATGCAAAGTCTCCCTATACATTTAATAGTGCAGAATATTTTATTATACAGATAGACCATAGTTTTTTGAAATCATTCCCCTCTTGTTTTACATTTATGTTGCTCCTAATTTTTTACCCTACAAATAAGTGTTATGCATAGCTTGATACATATGTTTATGTCCATTTTTTTTCAAGAGTAGGAAAATGTATTGGGGAATAGGAATGGAGAATAAGAATAGCTCCTGAGAAGGCCAGGGATTTAGCTCAGTGGTTTCACAGCTCCTGAGAGACAGTGGCGAGTCCCAAATGGGGTGTTTTTAATTATTTCCTTAATTCAGATTGTTAGAAGTATAATTACAAGGCCAAAGGATATCCTTTGTAACTTGCAAGGAGATCTTTTTCCAAAACAAGATACTACTTACGGCTTTTTTCGACAAATACTTTGCCTACAGGCTGGCTAATTCCAGTGGGTGCAGTGAATCTAGACTGTTGTTCTGGAACTCTTTGCTCATCAGTAATTATGTCTTCATCTTCTACTCCTAGTTCATTGGCATACTGTAACTCTGCTAGCTTGGTTTTCCTGTAATGATGGAAAAATTAAGAAAAATGGATAATTCTTGCAGTTTTGCAGACCCACACAGGAAACTCCCCATGAGTCTAACGAGTCTTGGAGTCCAGCACTTGGTCTTGACTGAAGTAGATCTACTACTATCTGTCCTGCGCATCAAGTTGTCTGGACTGCTGAGGGCTGGTTTCCTCATTGGAAAATGCAGTGGCTGAAAAAGATCTATCCAGACTTAAATTATGTGATTCTCTATATAAACTGATCACTGTTCAGAGGGTCACTTTCCAGTATAAACAGTAATGTCATGTAACTTCCAGGTATCTCTTTAAAGTATGACATTTTATCTTATCTTATCTGACACGTACTTTCCTAGGCTAACATATGGCTTTAGTTATTGTTGAATTATAATTCAAATTTTGTTAACATGAGGAAATAAATCACAGCAGCCTATTTTATTATCTTCAATTTTTTTAGAGGTGAATAAAAATAGGTTTTATTTTTATTTTTTTAATTAATTTTATTGGTACATTTAAGGTATACAATACAATTGTTCATCATTGGAAATTTGCACCTTTACATAATCCATCTTGGTTCTCATTTTTTCCCATTCCCCTGACCTCCCTTCAACCCCTATTATCTTCAATTTTTAAAGTCTTTGTTGCCTAATTTTTTGCTACTTATATAAAATCTTTTGTTCTTTGTTAGAGATGACTCCTTAGGATTTTATTTCGTTTTGTTTTTGTTTTCTGAGACAGGGTCTCGTTATGTTCAGGCTAGCTTTGAACTCACTGTGTAGTCCCGGCTGGCCTTGAACTCACAATGATTCTCCTGCTTCAGCCTCCCAAGTGCTGGAATTACAGGCATGTGCCAACACACCTGGCAGCTCCTTAGTTTTTAATTTATATAACATATTAATTTTTTAAAATTTTCTGTGGTTTCACTCTTTTCAAATTTACCTTGGTAGGGCCAGGGATATAGCTTAGTGGCATAGTGCCTTCCTGGCAAGTGCAAGGTCCTGAGTTTGATCCCCAGTACAAAAAAAAAAAAAAAAAAAAAA